TCATGTCGCTTATTCAATGTTCATTATCTGTCGTATTCGCCCCCCCCCCCTCTCTCTCTCTCTTCTCTGCCATTGACAAAAAAGTGGTCCTAGCCTAGCCCTAAATACATAATTAAAACAACAGCAACAGCAAAACCCAAACAAAACAAGAACCAATGTTTCAATAATCCTGGGATGGCTCCAACAGCTGACTCTGACCACTGATACGCAACGTCCTAAATTATCTAAACTGTGTCGGGTTTTTTGGAGGGAGGGGGTAGTAAAGTATTCAATTAAATTATTTTTTTTAAATCTTTCTTCTTGTAACGGAAACCATCTTGCGCAACAATTTGAAACGAGAAAATCATCAACAATGACAAATCTGTAGGGGCCTAGACTCTAGGCCTAGCCTAAGCTCAAAATGTTATTTTTCACCCGGGCTGTAAAGTATCGCACCGTTTAAAAAGGCTTTTTCGTATCGAACGCTCGCTGGTCGGTCGCGAAACAGGAAGTGGGAAATCTAGCAGTCAGATCTTCTTAGGCGAGCACTAGATCTAGCAGTCGTTGCAACAATATTGCCAAGCCTTTCCATGAACTCTACATTAGGCCTAGACTACTGTTGACAATTGATCTAACGGGGAGTCTCGTAAGACAGAAGGATTGATGCATACTTAAATTTCTCGTGTTTAGATTAATCTGTTTCAGGTTTTGTAAACGTGGACCATGCCTTTTTTCGAAGGGTTGAGCATCGATGACCCAAAAGTGATCATCCTCGATATTGGTGCGGCGTACACAAAGTGAGTCATGATCCGGACAGATATTCTAATTCTAAGGCCTAGCCTAGATCTAGATCTAGATCTAGATCTAGATCTAGATCTAGATTCTAGATCTAAATCTAGAATCAAGATCATAGACTTCCTCATACTGGTAAGATTGAAGAGTACCGGACCAGCGGACTGACTTTGCCTATGTCCCAACCTTAGGAATTCATAATTTTCCCGTTTTTAATATCTCTCAATGGAGAATCTCGGACCGGTAGATATAGATTTAGATCTATTCATTAAAATTTTGTCAGGGGGGGGGGGACCCCCCAGAACCCCCCCTCCCCCCTCCTCCACTCCAACCACCCGCCCCACCAACCTCACTTTCTCGCGCAATAATGTACGAGTGGTCCGGTATTCTTCAATCTTCCCCTCATACTCATTGAATGGGAAGATTGAAGAATACCGGACCACTCATACATTGTGCGAGAATGTGGGGCGGGTGGAGGGGGGGGGGGGGTTTCAGGGGGTCTCCCCCCTGACAGTATTTTAAATAGATTTTCCGGTCCGAAATTCTCCATTGAGTGTCACTTTAGTAGTCAGTCTAGCCGGAAGGACTTCTGTAATGAGTGACCACCCCTACAAACTCAATATTATTCAATATAATGTATAATTTAATTAAGAAGGGAAGAGGCTGGTCGTACTTAATGACGGCTAGACTGCCAGGCTAGACTGGGTAGGCTAGCCGTTCTTAATGACGTCTAGAGAGATAAGATTAGATATCTAGATCTAGATCTAAATTTTTGTTTGATCCAACCGAAGACTACAGTCTAGAATCTAGATCTATAGACTGGAATGGACCCAGATTCTGGGTGATAATGACAATCATGTGATTAAAAATCATGACCCATTAATTAGAAGGTACCCGTAATGTGCCACCCACACCAACAAACACAAAATAAGAGACCTAAACCTAACCGTAAGAACCCTACCCTTACCCTAGCCCTAATCCTAACCCTTGGAAACCCTAAACACCCTAACTTTAACACTTTGTGCCCACGGGACGCCGATCGGCGATGGTAAGAAGCCGTCCCTTTTCCCCATGGGACCCCAATCGGCACCGGTGTGATATAGCGTGTTCCGTACTGCACCTGTATCCTGGTCTGCGGGGAATGTGTTGCGCTCACTGCGTGGGTGGAAAGTGTTAACATCTGACCTGAACCTCAAGCTTCCAGGTCTATAATCTATTGCATATTTATCGCTCGTAACGAATTTCCTCCCCATGCCCTATTAATTATCAATTATTGTGTCATGTGTGTGTATTAAAAATGTATACTATGGTCTATAGATCGAGCAGTTTTTATCGTTATCATGATGAGGAAAGATCATTCATATCTAAATTTAGATCTGTCTAATAATACTAATATTATAGTTTGAATAGAGGCAGAGGAAATTTTTAGGAACTGAAGACAATTTGTATGTTAATAAAAAAAGTTGATGAATGGGTACAGTGGAACTCCCAACGAACTCCGATTCAACGAACTCGGATACTTACAACGAAAGGAGTTGGATTCCCCAGTTTTTAAAATTCATTCTCATAGAAATAATTTGAGTTCAATGAACACACAAATGAGCAGGCTCGGATTCAACGAAGTGGCTCGCAGGGCGAACTGCTCTGTGCAACCAATTAGTGTCCTCCTTTCATACCAACACTAAGCGTTATAATAGCACCCATCCATGTCTTAGTGTGTGTCGGGGTCGGATGGACGGCCAGCACAGGTGTGACTTGTGACTGTGTGTGCATGCATGTGTCTGAGCAAGGAGATTTGGGAGGGGGACAACATGTGTGTACTTTCAAGCTGGTACACAAAGAAATGGGTTTTTTTTTCAATATTCTTGGTGTATATGTGCTTACATACTATCATTTGGTATATATATATATATACATATATGCAACAGTCTTGAGAATGTTGATTTTAGTATGTAATATGAAATAAAAACAACTTTTTGTGCAGGTGTGGATTGGCTGGTGAAACAGGTCCAAGATGTATCATCCCAAGTCATGTAAAAAATGCAAGGAGGTCTGAGGTAAAGCAGTTTTAGACATTAATTCTCATTCTGTGTGTCCCTAGATTATATGTGTCACGACGCGGTGGAATCAGGCGCTCGTCAATTTTTTTATCTTTTATGCAGAGTTATTGGTATCATCTTAAAGCTTGTCATTTTTCTTGCTTTGGATTAAAAAATATCCATTTTGTCTTGAATAGAAGTCGAGATATTTGCGAATGAAGGAGGTGGGGGTTACCTGGTTTCGGAGGTAAAATTAATGAGAAAATGGCTGCCTAAGATTAGTATTTCCTTAGCTTGAGAGTCCGTGGAAACTGAAAGTTAACATTTTTTGTTCCTTAAATCAACGTTTCGCATTAAAATCCACTCTGAATGGGCATGAAAGGTGTTTAGCCAAAGAACAAAATTTCGATAAAATTTCTCAAACCTGCGGAAATATTCCAGTTTCTTAACTTTGATTATTTTGACGAGTGCCTGATTTCACCACGCTGCCTCTCATATTGTCCCAATTCAATAACATTACAAATAATTTTTGATTTTCCTGCTTTCTGTAAACATGATATGGGACAGGAAGGTAATTTAAAGGCCTACTCTATTTTCCTTAAAGTGAAGATATTTGAGCTTTTTCTTTGATTAAGAAATGAAAAGTTTAGATTTTTTTCCAATTGACAATTGTTTTTTTGTATATATGTCATTTGAATTTGAGTTGAGTATGGAGAAGTTATATAAATTTAAGTTCTGTTTGAGGGGGAGGCTACTGTACTGAACCTAACTTTTGTATCATGTAGTATGTACATGATCTGAAAATTTGAATTTCTTGGATATGTGACCAGGGACGCAGGGGTAAAAGACTAAGATATTCTGATCGACACTTGGAACCTTCCGTTTCATTTGCTTCTCACACAGGGTCAGATTGGGGTTTCGAGCCTATAAGATCGTGCAATATTAAATTACTCACTTACATTTAGCACAACATACAAATTGCCATATAAGCAACAACATATAATTCATATTGTAAGGAATTCATATTGTAAGGAATTCATATTGTAAGGACAAGGAATTTTGTGTATTTAATGAGAGTGAAGTTTGTCAGGTGAATGAGTGTTAGAAATTATAGGCAAGGAAACGCTTGTTGCTTTTGAAAAACATTTTTGTTTAAAACCTCTTATGAATACAATTTTTGTTCTAGAAACAAATACTCCTGCAATTGTGTCAACCAGACACTAACAGACACGCTTGCAAACTTTCAAAAAGATCAAATTTGAAAAGATATACTTTTGATGGCTCATTAATTTAACCTCTTAAGAAATGTAATGTTTTTTAGAAAATCGAAGAAAACATATGCATGCATGGCTTGTAGGGGTTAGGGTTTTCTTGGTGCAAGTGCATGAATACATTGTTAAGTGATAATTTCATGTCAACATTCAGAAAGTTGAAAACCCTTCATCCTGCTCAGATTATTTGAACATGGTTCTATGTGTTTAGGATATATTTTTCTAGAGGTAAAAATATTGAAAAGTCAATATTTCATACCAAGTTTACCTCTCTATATTGATTAGAGTAACTCTACCTGCTTATTTAATTTAATTTGTCCACGTAGGTAGTGTAAAATTATCTTACATAGGGTATTTCTTAATGTGTGGAGCATAATAATTTTTTTTTGGGGTGTAAAATCATAGCTGTAGAGATATAATATGAGAGCAAAAAATGAGATGAGACTCAATTTAAGTACATGTACTTTTTGATTATGGTTTCAAATGAGTTTTCTGTTTTTGAATATTTTTTTAGAAGGTTGCTTTACAAATTACTTTGTTTCTCAATTTTGACATATATTTTTTTCAGATTGTGAATATCTGGGATTACAGCAGTGTGGGAGAATTGTATGAGAACCTGAAAGACCTCTTGTATACTCTGATATTCAGGTAAGTGCTTCTGTGTATTTGAGTGTTTGGAAATGGGGAGTTCCCGGCATGTTTTGATGGCTTAAGCTTTGAAAGCGATGAACATTAGTAGTACATACGCTTTAAAACGGTGGATGTGGAATCATATAAACGCTTGTGAATTGTCCAGACAACTCTCTAATGATCACTCTGATGTATAGGATAGGGCAAGCTGTTGTGTTATGTGATTTTTTTTTCCTTTCAAATTTGTACATATGCAAGCAAATGACATACTGTTTTCTCTTTCCAGGCACTTGCTTGTGACACCCAAGGATCGCAGAGTGGTGGTTGTAGAATCTCTTCTATGTCCTTCCGAGTTCCGAGAGACTTTGGCAAAAGTGTTGTTCAAGCACTATGAGGTTTGACTTAATTATGAATTTTCCAGTACTAATTTTAAGTTCCTTTTTATTTTAACAACTGAAGTATGAGACTAGTACCAGGAGTTTCAATTATGTTTCAATTGCTCTATGTGACTCTCACTATTATGGCGTCCATTACCCTTTAAACCTTGTTGGTGAATATTTTGATTTCGTGCATTTTTTTTCCTTTTCTTTTTTTTTTGGCTTTGTTGTTCGGCGACAAGATTATTTTCCCCCCCTTTGTCTCAGCAACTTACCTTGATTGCATGCCCTTTCAATTGTGTTGGGGGTTAGAGGGTGCTTCTGGTAGGTCCTACTTCTTCACTTTCCCCTCTGTTGTTTCTGTCTGTCTTACTTTACCCCAGCATTACATGGATCATTTTGGGACTGTTGTTAAATGTGGGTGTGCAAATGGAAAAATTGTTTGCTTTGAAATTTTTTTGGTTCATTGTTACAAATAGGCTAGGCCTACTAACTGTTTCTGTTACATGGAAAGCTGTTATAAACTATGATGTATTCTCTTTTTGAATATTATAGGTTGGCTCTGTGTTATTTGCACCAAGTCACCTTGTTGCTCTACTGACTTTGGGAACAAATTTTGGACTTGTCGTCGATGTTGGATTTCAAGAAACTGTGGTTGTACCTGTATCCTTTGATTTTGAATGAGTTAGAAGAGGACCCTTACATGAATTTGTCTATTCGAAGTCAATGCCTGTTCAACAAAACTGAAGAAATGTTTACTGAAATCTATCAAATATTAGACAGGTGGTAGGAAATGGAAGAAAACTGTTGGACACCAACAGCAGCTCTACTGGAGAACTGTCCTGATTGGTAGATGTGAAAGAGTCAGAAGTTTGCCACTAGTGACTGAAGCGGCCATAGAACAATGAAAGAAAGGCTAATCCCCAGGATGAGATAACGTCTCAAATGAGCACAAAAAGTTCAAAGCATTTAACATTTTATATCATGTTTTGACAAGATATGTGTTAGGAACCTTAACTTACTGAAGGTGTATGAAGGAATTCCCATCATGAAAGGTTGGCAGTCAATACCTCTAGCTGGGAAAGCTATTCAAAGGTAAGTAAAAGCTTTTTGTTGTTTCTTTTCATACTTGTTGTATACATTTTCTTTGCATTTTGTTTATTTAATTTATTATATGTGCTCTTCATACAAATCAATTTATGGATTATGTGTTATTCATTCTTTTCTGACTTTGGTTTCATTTTCCTTTAGCTTTTTATTACTTTATTGGTTTATGATTGCTTGTTTTACTGGGTTCTCTTCGTAAAATTGAATAAAATATTTAAATGGTAGGCCAATATGTAAAGATTGTTAAAAGTACCCTTGTGAGTGCAAAAAATATAAAATATGGAAATTGTTCTTTTAATGATCTTGTGCTTTAACTTGCTTTGTTCCAGCCGCATCAAGAGTCAACTTTTGGAACATGGAACAGTTAGTACCGCTGAGCAGCAGCACCAGGCTGTCTCTGGCTTGAAAGGTGGAGTTCTGTTTGTGACATAAAGCAATGTACACCGTCTACTTACCATAGAAGCAATGGTCAGCCCTGTAAGGCATTATATTTTGGTGGAAAGGAATATGTGTGCATGATTACTTATGAATGATATTGCTAGTTCAGATGAAGATGTGTGAAGACCAGCCATTCTGTTTTTGAGAGGAGAGAGACTTAGTTGTGGGTTTGTATAAATATTCTGTGAATGCTTTGTCCTGCTGTGCCCCTCTGGGGTAACTATGTTTTCTGCTTAGTGTTGTGATTGGTGATTTCTCATGTGAAAGGAGATTAAACTGTTCGTCAGATTGACTCAAACTTTGAGGAAATCAATCAATATATTGTTGAATAATCAGTAATTTGTTAAAAGAATGTCTGAAGTTGAAAATTGGATAGATTTACCACCCACATATGCTTGCTTTAGACGAAATCAAGGAAATGCAAAGTATTCTTCATAGTAAAAAATAAATCATCAAACTAGGAACTTTTAATCACAGCTGGCAAATGTAGCAGTTTGCTGATGCAGGATTTGTTGTATTGTATTTGATACTGTAAAAATGTGAGTCTCATAAAGCCTCTGGTGGCGAACTTGTCTTTGCGCAAGCTAACCTCGACCTTGCACAGGGAAGCTTTGTTGAGTTGATTATTCACTTAGACTAAGAGGCACAAAGTCGGATCAATAGTGATGCTATACACAATGTTTTAAACTCAGATGTAAAATAATACTGTTCAGTAAATTGGAATTTTTGTATTTTCCTTCCTAATTTTAAATTAATTTCTCTTAATATGTTTTTTTCAGAAACAATCACAGATGAAGTTCTTGAAGACATAAAAGGTCAGTTGTGAAGAAAGTTAAAAATTTTCAATTTTTTCCCCGCCTCTGCTCTGGTAATTAATTTGACCTACTAATGGTGATAATTGATACTTTTTGATTAATGGATATTGTAGACAGTATTATATTGAAGTCGAGTTGTCTTCATAAGTTTATATCATCTGATTCTAAGAATACTGTGATTTATTGTCTTGCTATTCTCATGTGTGGTTTTGATAAAGCAGAAAAACTGGACAAAAAGTTCTGAACACAGCAAGGACACTTAAATTTTCACAAGCTGTTACCAAACAAAGAGGATCATCGTAGACATGATCTTTATTCAGACTTGTTCTATCTCCATTTTTAATAACAGTGAAAACAGTTCATAACAAAGAGTGAAAGAGTGAGCTTAAGAAGTCACATTTTCAATGTTAAGAAAAATGGAGATAGGACGAGGTCGTGTAATGACAATAAGTTGTGGTTTGTACAATGTAAGAAAGGTAGTCTGCAGGGTGTCTCCAAGAGCAAAAATGTTATAGATTTAGCTCAAAGACAGGATGTTGTCTCACTAACAGGCGATGATGAGTTAGTGAAATTGTTGAGTATGAGTGGATTTTATGATGGATTTATACATGTTGAAAACACAGTATAAAGTATTGTAACTGATGAAGTTATGAATAATTGCATTTTTAACTTGCTAATTTAAAGGTCCACTTTTCTCATCAGTGATGTAGTGTTTTTCATTCCGTTTCTCTTATGGCGGGGTATTTTCTTAATTTCTTTTCTGGAAAGTTTATCTCGCGACTTTTTAAGTGTTCATTTTTGTTTCAGTTCGCTGCTGCTTTATCACAGAATATTCCAGAGGCCAACAGATCCAAGAGGTCACAATGCGTGGTGGTCATGCAAACAAGGTCAGTGACTAGAGCTGTAGTTTAAAGTATTGCTAAATATTTTGACAGGAAAAGTATATATGTTTGTCTCGTCACTTGCTTCTACATAGATGTATCAGGGATGCCAAATCTCCGGTTTTTCCGGCTTTTTCCATACACTTGCAAAGGAAAGGAGAATGGTAAGAGAAATGTTTTTGTTTGCTCATTTAAAGATTTTACAAGGTTCATTTTAGATGAGGTGTGATGCTCCGCTCATTTTCAGGTTTTTTTTCAAAAATCATTTGACATCCCTGATGTATATTGCTGGTCAGTCTGCTGTTTGTTCGGTAAATCAATAGCTTTCTCATTTAGAAAATACAAACTACTCTTTAGTTTGTCAAGGAGAGGAAAAAAAGAGAAAGTTAGCATAATGAGCCAGTTAAAATTCATGTAAAAATGTTGGGGGGGGGGGGGGGGGGGTTGAGTCACTGGAAAAAAAATGTTCTGTCAAAAATTAAACATAGTGCAGTTCATTACATTTCAGGAGGCCTACTGGTAACTGAGTTAAATCTATTTTTTAGGCAGATTTGGCGTTGTAGGTTTTGAACTTATCCATACTTACACTATAGTGGCCATTAATAGTTTGTTGACCTGCAGCTGAGATCTGTGCCTACAGTGTCCAGCAGGGATGAATCTATGTTTGGTTAGATTTTTAAGATGTTCTTTCTGGAATAGTGCTGTAATGAAAATGTAATGGCCTAGTGTTCTGTAGATGGATAAGGAGCTTTGTTTTCGCATATTTACTGATTCTTTGTCTAATACTAGTAGTACTGACACCAAAAGGCTTCTTTATGGCTTTACGATCCAATCTTAATACGAACAGGATGTGAAAAGCTCAACTGAGGCTGACAAACTAACAACATGCTTGTATTGTATTTTTCCTCTTCAGTTACCTCCTCCTCCACCTGATACTGATTATCCATTAGATGATGGCAGTGTATTGAATGTCAGTGGAAGAATCAGGTATGTATGTTCAATTCTCCAACATAATTACATCTATTGGATCTGAGAACTGGAAGTTGAAAAAATATGGGGTTTCTGTTCTTGCCTCTGTTATTTTCCCATTCAACTGAGGAGTTTATTTTATTCCATTCAACTGAGGAGTTTATTTTATTCCATTCAACTGAGGAGTTTATTTTATTCCATTCAACTGAGGAGTTTATTTTATTCCTTTTATTAAATCGCAAGTTTGTGAAAGTGCAGGTTCATAAAAGGAACCGCAAACTTACAGGAATGCCTGTCTAAATAAATACTTTTGATTGGTCCCACAAAGATGGCCGTGTTTCTGATGGGTCACTTGTTTACAGTGTATCATCATACTCAATAGCGTCAGCAGTTGATAATCCTTGAACAAGAAAGATGGCCATCCCGTGGAGAAGAGTAGATGATAAGATTCTTGCTGGGAGAAAAAACAGCTGAACTGCTTCACCGGGCGACTGTTTGCTCTGCAAGCTACTTCAGAGGGTCCGAGTTTAGTCTCATGAAGTTTTGTGAATATGATATTTATACTATCAATTTTCATGAATTTCTGAAGAGTACGTTTCTTTCTCCTTTCACTTTCAGTGAGCCAGAGTTTTTGATGGTTCAGATTTTGGAAGCGGCTTGCACAGTAATTTGATAGCTCTGTTTTCAGGAAAATTGACGGCCAACTATTTCAGTCGTTACATCATAGTGTCACCTGATGGACTGATCCTTCGGCTGTCTACAGTTTGTGGGCAAATTCACAATTGCTTATAATTTTGATTGTCAGTTCTTACTCCGTTGCATTTGGCACTGAAAGAAAATTTGGATATAAGCAGAATTTTATAAAATGTTAAGTTGAGAATCTTTTGAAAGTACTAAATTTAATGCAGTCCATTCTCTCTTCTAGGGAGCACTCTGGAGAAGTTTTGTTTGAGCAAGACAATGAGGAAACCTCCATTGCTACCTTGTTGTTGGATTCTCTGGTTCAGGTAAATACTCCGTAGTCAAAAGCAGTTACTTTAACTCTTTGAGCTTTGTGTTGAGGGAAAGAGACCTCAACTCTTTTTTTGAAAGGAAAGTCACATGGTTGTGTTTATCCCATGTGTTGGGCATTTTGTTGAAATGAGGCTGAAGAAGGTGTTGGAAATTACACTTTGAATCCTCCCAAGAAAGTTGTTGGGTTTTTTTTGCTTGTACTTGTATTTAGGCAATGTGAATGTTGCAAAAGAATATATATAATTTAACAGTCGACTGTATACATTTATTTGTTCCTTTTCTTGTAGTGCCAGACTTCCCCAGAAGTGCTGATTATATTGTTCCTTTTCTTGTAGTTAGTGCCAGACTTCCCCTGTAGTGTTGATTATATTGTTCCTTTTCTTGTTGTGCCTGGCTTGCCCCGTTGTGCTGATTATATTGTTCCTTTTCTTTTAGTGCCCACTGGACACCAGGAAGCCTCTGGCCAGCAATGTCCTGGTCATGGGAGGGACGGCCATGATGCCTGGCTTCTATCACCGGCTGCAGTTGGAGCTGAGCAACCTGTTGAAGAAGCCAGTATATGCCAACCAGTTGGGAGTGAAGCAGTTCAGGTTTCACAAAGCACCTGCTAAAGAAAACTACACAGCCTGGCTGGGAGGTATGCTACTTTGTGGGTTTAGGTTTTTTGGGTTTTTTTTATGACAGGGTATTTAGCTAGAAGTGGGATTTCAAAGGAAGAAAAAATCAGTGGGTAGAGTTGGGAGGCTTAAAAAAAAGGTTTCTTTATATTGAATATCTAGGAATCTTTGAAACAGACATTAATTTACGCAAATGTTTATTGTACATGTACTCGTACTGTGAACCTCGTATCTAACGAGCCCATTGAATCTGAGATTCGATTTTGCTCATGAAACATGAACTTTGTTGTTGTTGTTATCGATCCAGCAACATCTGGGCTCTCGCCCTTCTGTCCAATGCCATGTAGTGATAAGTGCAGGTTTGCTGCAGTTGGTGTAATGTTCTGTAGAGTGTGTTGTCAAAGTAAGGTCTCGGAGGGAGAAGTGTAAAACTTGAACTTTAAAAATTGATAATGCAATGGGAGCATCTGCCATAAATGTGTTGGTGTCCGTCAGGCTGCTATACTGTGTTCAGAATAAAGCAAATGTCTGCTATATTCTGTGCCCCTGTTTTACTTCCCAAATCTGAAACTGAGGAAAGATATTTTTTCCCCGTTTATTAGATTTCATTATATGACTATAGGACTAGCCTGAGAGAAATACCTAGGGCCAGCTAGAATAAGGCTTATGCTACAAATTTGGCTGGAATTATTATCATTAGTAGACACTTGTGTCTATCTTGGAAAATGTCTTATGTCAAGCTCCCAACAAGTAGGTACCATATATGGACATGGAGTTGTAGGGCTGATGCAAGAGACTAGTGTTTTATGAATATGTGCATGTCTGCTTTCTTATTATATATATGCTGACTCTTTTATGTTGTGAAGTCTGACTATACTATAGGCAATGCACGAGGACTACGCTTTTCTAGAAATTTTTTTTTCTTTTCAGGTTCACTGATAGGTGCTGTAGAAACATTACCCTTGAAGTCACTCTCAAGAGATGTGTACTTACAAAGAGGAAAACTTCCAGACTGGTGCTGTGTGGATTCAGATTTTCTGACTGATGAAAAGTCCCACAAACCCTAGTTCTTTCTTTAATTTATAAAGGGCGTTATTTGCAATACTGTAGTCGATGTATCGTCTATACTGCTTCTTGCTGTTGGAGGGTGCTCCGACTGACTGAATGGGCTTTGACGGAACTACAGTGGACACCTGATATAACAGGGATGGTGGGACTAGAGAAAAAGTCCTGTTATATCGATCCCTGTTAAATCTGTAATGCAAGGGAAGTAAGCATGTGTGGACTAATCCAGGAGTATTTATTCACTGGTAGCTTCTCTTGCCACACGTACCAGGTCTGTGTATAGCACATGTGTGCGTGTAGCTATGCTTAGGGCTAGATCAAAGTGTGCAGCACATCGCAGCCCTCTCTCGCTTCCCCCTTCTGCGCGTGCTTGCAGTGGTGTGGCTTGCGTGGGCTTGCTCCATTACTGCGTTTCTGTCTGTCTGTCTCTCCTCTTACTTTTTACACATTGTTAACGAGCCTTTGTCCCTGCTATAACCGATTGGGCTCAGATGAGGCACTGTTATTGCCGATAACTTTTAATAGAGACAAAGAGTAGGAAAAAACGGGGATTTAAAAATCCCTGATATTACCAGACCTCTGCTATTACCAGGCCTGTTATATATGGTTTCCACTGTAGGTTATTGTCAACATAGATTGTGATAGCAGCATGCGAAGTGTGCTGCTTGTTATCGGGTACTTATTGGAAGGGGTTTTTTGTTTGTTAATTTGCCTCTACTTTTGCTTGTAATTATTGTCACGCAACACAATTTTGTCAATTTTTGCGAAATGTAGTATATATGAATGTCTATTGTGCAGGCACCTTCAGGTTTCTTTCATTTTTCTGCATTTAAATTTAATTATATTTAATTGAAATGAGAGCCAGTTGGGGGGGTGGGGGGGGGGATTTGTTCCATGTTGAAAATGTTTTACTAAATAAAATTTTAAATTGTATATTATGTGTTTAGAAATCAAGCTGCTGTTATAAAGCTTTATTCTTGATGTAAACTTTGCAAAAGCTCATCAAACAATGATTGTCATCTCATCATGGTCAGGAATGGATTGCCTTGAAAAATATCTTCCAAAGAATGTCGGTGTTAAGCCACTTTGCCTTCTTTCAAGTCAAAAACAAAATTCAAACAATTCATTTAAGAAAAAAAAAACAGCTGCAGTTGGACACATATAATATGTACACGGACAACTTGAGATCGTGGATAGCTCATACAATTTGCCATTCCCCGACTGATTTCTCGCTAATCTGTCTACCCGGAGTATGGAATGCATCAAACAGATTTTGTTTGAGTTGTACTTGCCAGATTGTTTTATTTTTCAATCACTGTGAAATTCAAAACAGTGGACACCATAGTGCAAGTTTAAGGTCCCTTTAGTGAATGATGGATTGGTATTAGCAACCCAGTTTCACTAGTTTCAGAGGTACATGTTTAATGGTTATCTAAGGGCTTATTTTTGTTAAAATACCGGCACAGGCTTGCTCAGCTGTGAGCCATGAGCACACATTTCTATTTCTTCTTTTTCTGTATTGACACCCTCTTTGTTTCAACTGGAACCGGTATATATATTTATAGCTTAAGACCTTGCCTTAATTAGGCAATTGCTTTTTCCCCCTTCACACCCAGGTTGTGGCTACTGTGAAATGCTTAATTCTCAATCAATTGCAATTCAATAAACCTGTCGTTCCAAGAAAAATGTGACTTGACCTTTTTTTATGTACTGTTTTTGGTGAGAACATGACTTTCTTTATAATGATAATGATTTGGAGACAAATTACGTTTACGATGAGCTCATCAAGCCTTAGGATGGAAACCACAAGGAAAAAAAGAATGCCTAACGCAAAAGTGCCTCGAGATAGGACTTGGATTCAGACCTGATGAAGATGGGATGCAGCAGGGCAGAGATGGAAACTATAGACCAAGGCAGAAAAAGATGGAAAGCTCTTGTTTGAGTTTGAAGCATATAGCACTATACTGTGGCTGGGAGTGAGAAAGGCTGATGATGATCAAGTTATAATATTAAAGAATGTCGAAAAACTCCACTGGCATGGAATGGGATGCATGCACTCCACCTTGAATATCTCACCCGTTTGTCAGTCTTAATTTATAAATTACTGGCTCAATATGGTTTGCAAAAAAAGTGAGTTTTGCTTTAAAACTTGAACATGCTGATGTCACTGTACCCTGTCCAGGAGATGGCTGTTCTGTGGCCCCATGTGTTAATGGAACTGCAGTGGAGTTTGACTTTAACTGTGGGTGGTTGCCGGTGCTCTGGTGTGGTTTGCTTCTTCTTTCCTGTCAAACATCTATCGTCCTTATCTCCCCTTTTTCTTTTTTATGTTTGTGGCGCTCATATGACCTTATGCAGTTGCGAGCGCCGTAAAACCTCTACTAAAACGAAACTGACTTTTAACTGAAAATGAAAACTGTGGTGAGCTGAAGGAAAACACTCTCCGATTTCAGCCATTTAGGAAGTAAACTGATTCTTGTAATGTGTAAGCAGAGAATAGAACACTTAACACTGTTAAAAGCTAGCGTGAGCGCCAGAGTATCTTTTACAGTGCGAAGTGTTCTGTGTGTTATCAAAATATACTGATATACTGTAAGTGTAAGGAATATTACAAGCATTTGCTTGCTTGTATTAGTTTTTTATTTATGATTTATGGCATAAAGAGTCCTCCAGGTTCATGGCCTTAGGCAAACTTTTGACAGATATGGCTAGTTTTTAGTTTTACGGCACTTACAACACAATAAGGTCATATAAGTGCTGAAGATTTAGAGGTGTTACAAGAGAGTAACGAACACAAGAAAGAAGGAGGGGAGATAAAAGATGACAGAGCTGTTTGATAGGAAAGAAGAAGCAAACCACATCAGAGCACCCGCCAACCGCCTCCAAAGATATGGCTAGTTAGAGGGCACCACTCGTTTTCTATTTCTGTTATTAATTAAATTTTCCAGCTGTTAATGATGAATGTTATTGTGTGAATCTCTTTTCTTACTCTAACTCAATTCCTTCCCCTCTATTGCTCCTTTCTTTTGTTTTTTTAGTTTTGGTAAGAATTTTACCACACTTGCAACACAAATAGGCTACATGTAAGTGCTGAAGATTAGAGGTGCTGCGCGAGAGAGTAACAGTAGAAAAAAAGAGGAGAGCTGAGGATGCAAGATGTTTGATAAAAAAGGAGTACACCACACCAGAGCATCTGTCAACCATCCATCTATGTGCACGTTCTTTAACTAACTTTAGGTCGTGATAAAACAAGAAGACAGCAGGGGAAAGAATTACAATCTGTGGAAATTCCAGAGGGACTGGAAAGTTGCAGTAATTGTAATAATAAATAGCAGTTGTACAGCGCATATCCCCGCTCAACAGCAGGCATTATGCAGTCCCATACTCCATATTACCCACATGTTTTTATCCATTTTATAATTTATTTACCGTATAGAAATTAATAGTGAGGTGACTCTTGACACCAAGGTGTAGGTTAGTAGCTAGGTATAGTCACAAGCATGGCGACACCTGGTATTCCTACAACAACAATACCATGAAAAAAGTGAGATGACAGAAGAAGGGTGAAAGTAAAGAATTCAGTAGGATTTACCAGGGCCAGCCTCCACCAACTCCTGTTGTGAACATTATGATGTTGACGTCAGTCAATGCATTCTAATATTTGCCGTCCGGCCTTTAAAGGGTAAGTAAGCTACATTTGTCTCATTAGTTACTGATGATCAGTCAGTCTTATTAACCCTATTCTTATGTCGTGTTTTACTATCGTATCCATACGATGTGGGGAACTTTGAGCCACCACTTTCCAAAGAGGAAATTTACTCGTTAATCCGATCCGTATGCTTTGCATAGGTCTGTCAAAATTATTTTTTGAGAAATACTGAAAGTTTCAAAGAGATCGTACTAGAAGTAATCTAAAATGTGAAGAATACAACCCCGGGGGTACAAAATGGCCCCAGGGCGTACGATGCAGTCTTGAAGTTGAGCAAACAGCTCACAGGTAGGCCTATCTGATCTAAATGAAAAACAAATTCAAGCGTTTCACAGGTAAGAAGCCTGGCATTAGTTATAAACACAAGAAGGTGACTGATGGACACGTGAAGGAAGACAATGGGTGAGATGGATAAATGAATTGACAGAAAAAGGACGTGTCCTCAGGCATTTCAGTGGTTACCTCTAGGTATGGAGGCGAAGCATACTTTCTAAAAAGATATTAGACGACTTCACTGTTCATGTAGGCTACTTGCTTTTAAAAAAAAAAAGCCTTCCCTTCACTGCTTCTCACACTATTCACAAAGATATTACATGTATTATCTTTGTCATTGTCAAGTATCTGCCGTTAACTGGCGCTTATGGTGTAGATTTTACCATCATATGCAAGGACTTGAGTTCGAGTATCTGAAAGGGGACAATTTTTATCAAGTATCTCCGTCTTTCTCCTGGGATGTTGCATCCCTCTCAGCCTGATCAAATCCTGCCACCAAAACTAAATTTATCTAAATTGTGTCGATGGGGGTGTTAAAACACCTTCTTTCATTATTTTAAAAAAAATTTGATCTGCTGGTACGAACAAAAATAAAGCACTTTGTACAAATGGTTGACATACTTCCCAACAATAATGGGTGAGCTGTGCAAGTCTAAGTCAAAGTAAGTCGGAATACAATGTGCTTGGCTATTTTTACAGAAAAGTCACCATACAACAAATTGCTTGAATCACTTCGTAACAGTTTAATGGGTTAAAAACTTCAGTAACAAATCAGTACATCTCTGACTGTACACTTTTGAAAGAAAACGAGTAGTATAACTGAAAATCAGAATACAATCCCCATATAAAATGGACAATAAACACAAAGATGGATGTAAGAGATAAACACTTTAAAAATACGGGTAGGCTACATAAAAACACAGACACCCTTGAAACTTGTCTCAGTGTTGAAAAAACACATCTTGTTTAAATTATGAATCAAAAGGTGAGCATTGGCATCAAAATCAAACAAAACTGATTTCTTCATTTGCACCAGTTTACTCTTCCAAACACAGAAAGTATATTTGTCTATATGATCTACTTGTTTTATGTTGCTATTAAGTCTACACATGCTCCTGTATAAAGAACTCCCAATTTATTTTTTTTAAAAGGGCATGGTAAAGGCTCATAATATAATCTAATTTTGTTTAAATTCAAACAATAAGGTCTGGTGGTACTAGACTAGTGGTAGCAAAAATATGAAGGACCAATGGAATAAAATTGTACAAAAATGAAAACCCTTACCTAAAGCTTCATACCATTTATGTGTTTTACAGTCAATTACGTCTATAACATTTTACAACCAAACCAAAAAAGCTACCAAATATTGTGTTTTTTCTCAAAGTAGTCTGGACACTTAAGTGGTTTAAGTTAACGGATCAAAAAAGAAAAAAAGCTACTAAGAACCAAAAAAAAAAGGGGGGGGGAGGGCACCAAATGGGATCACCCCTCTCACAAAACTGCAAATGCATTATACTGAATGCTAGTTCAAGATCTTCATTATTCTTGTTCTTTGGGGTAGAATTCATTAACAGTACTGTAAGCCTAAAAAGCTAGTTGGCCCAAGTAAAAAAAAAAAAGAAGCATATTAGCACAATATTGGTTTCCACTGCAGTGGTAAATGCAACATTAACAAATGTTTCAAAATATTCAAATGAAAGGAAGAGAAGAAAGACCAGAAAGCAGCAGTGTCATACAACAACATGTAGGCTACCTGCAATGCCAAGTAATGTAAGACTAAGAGCTTCAAGACTCATTGGGATATAATATTCAATCTGTTAAAGAAAAAGAAAAAATAACTTCAGTGAACCGCAATAGGCCACACTTTAATAACAATAACAGACTTGGTGATAACAGGATATGGAATGATCTCATAGTTATAGCCGGAAGCAAAAAAGTTCTTTCACAGCACGCATTTTTGGAAGAATACATGCTCTGCTTTTACCAGTAGTCCAACCATTGACTGACAAAATCCAACAAGTGGACAAGAAAGCAGAAAAAAGAAAGCAAAAGAAGCAAAGTAATATCCAACATAGCGAATTGCACCTACATAACATGCAGAAGGCCTATGTTGATTCCGCAGATATTACATGCACTTTTGAGTTGATGCAAATCTAATCAGTGACTCAGTATGACTTTGGACTGGCACTATTTCACCACATTGGACATAGTCTCCCTGTGGGGTGGCGAGATTTGTGAAGGGAATAAACGACTGAATGACAAACAGGCACTGGGTCTACTACAGATCTATATATGTGTGCCTTTTCTCAACTATGCTCACCATGTGGCTATGAATATGACGCGTTGTAAAGTGTGCAAAATGCCTGTTGTAGAGCATAAAATGCGTTAAATAAATGCAATTATTCTTTTTTTTTAAGGCTACCTATGCAACTTAAATAATGTCCAGTCAATGTCCATGAGACTAAGATACAATAAAAAAGAAAGACAAAAGCGAGGAGCCAAAAATATCTCTGGAAAAGAAAGGAGAAATACCTGATAAATAAATAATTGGCAGTGGGTAAACTATTTACCAGTCTGAGTAATACAATCCCATTAGTTAATCATTAGTAATGTTTGTTAGCGTGATCCCCATCTATACCAGGATTCGACTACAACTGGGATATCATGCTGGTCCTGGTGCCCGTTATAGCTGGGGCCCATCGTAGAACAATTTCAAGTCTAATGCACCAGGGGCTCAGAGGCTTTGTTCCTCCTTCTGCCCTATGGAACTGCTCACACGTTCCTTTAGAGCTCAGTAAAAAATTTGGACATCAACAGATTAGAATGAGTACAATAGATGAAAACTTACATAAATAATGAACACATACAACTAGATTAAAGAAGATGAATTTTGACAGCCCTTTTTTTTCAAGCTAACAGTCCATGAAAATGAAAGACGACGCTCATAATCTTCAGAATGATAACACTGGTTGAAGAAGCACTTCTTCATTCAACTGCATAGCTGTATAATTTGTAATGTGTCTGCTTTGGTCACTATGAAAACGAAAGCTACACAAAGCCTCACGAAGATATTTTAAATGAAGTACATTAAAAAAATTGCAAAATGTAAAGAAATTTTGTAGATTACACAGAAATCTGATGTATGTTCCCTGAGTAATAATAAATGAAGACCATCCCAGAAACAAAGAGTAGAATTGAACAAGGAAGACAGAGATAGCATTTACTACTTCAATCCCTTTTTAACAACAAAATAATTGCACAACTAGATTAGGCCAACCCCTTCGTTGCCGTGTGACATAAATGGTACATTACAAAATGCATAATTGTTTCCTTTGTTTTGTCCATAGAAGTTGAGAAAATAAGTGTTTCCTGGTTGCATATTAAACATTACAAGAACGTCTCAATAATCATCTGGTTTTAATAATTCTGTACAGAGAAATATAGCCACAGTCACAGAGTATGGCTTTCTATTCGTGAATAAAAAAATGCCCATATCGGTACCAAATTTGCTAGTATTTCTTTCCTACTAGCCTTGCAAGTTATCGAGAAACACATGTCTAGTCTTGCCGATGAAAGTGCACTCTCAAAAAAAACATAACCAAAATGGCTTTAGAAGGCAGTAAATTTCACTTTTTGACCTAAAACTTCCAGTTGTTCAAAGTTAGGGAAGTGACACTATCAAAGGCCTGGGATCCAAATGTCGTAGGTGGGCCGGAACCAGACAGCAAGTTCAACAACATCAGGACTGCTGTCCTGGCTAAGGAGCTTAGCTGAAAATTAGAGCTGGCAGTAGGAGCGCACACACCCTAGCAACAAAGGGGTTAACAAAGAAACTAAGTGGATAAATCCAAAGGAAGCTCGTCTTGGCTCATTTTCTTCATTTTTTCAACTTGTAGTTTTCTCTTTTCAAGAAGTTCTTTCAGATGTTGGATTTTGGGATTCTGGAAGGAAGGCCTATGTGGCCTTAAAGGCAAGGAGAACCTGTCAGCCGATGTTGTGGAAGAACTAGCACTTGGCACCGTGGAATCAATACCACTATCGTCACAACTGTCTTGGCTGGCTGAAGGGGCTTCACCAGACTGTGATTCACTCTGTGCGACGCCATGAGAAGCCTTTGACACAGAGTGAGGGGTGTGGGGACTGTCCTCACAGAACGGCCTACCTGTGGTTGATGAAGTGGAAGAAAACATGGGCTGGAGCACGGGTGGCATATCATCATCGCTGTCGGCATTCCCAGTTCCGGAATCATGGCCACTGCCCGATGGTGTCTCTTGAAGTAGTGGTGGGGGTTCATCATTGAGTTCGGAATGCGTCATTACTTCTTGTCCAGCATCAATCTGTGAAAGAGGACTTTCCTGGTCATTTTCTTCAAAACGAGTCTCTCCCCTACTTCTTTGCTGCAAAACCACTGACGTAGAAACCTCGGACTGGGATTGAAGGCATTCTGGGAAATCCGAAGAATCATCGGGTTCACATTTTATTACAACCCCAGGAGGTAGGGGATATTTTGCTTCCAGTAATCTTCTCTTCCTCCAACGCTCTTTCTCGGAGATGTGCTCAGAAGTACGGACCCTTCGCTGAGGTAACAGTGTGCTGTTGGGAGGGAGATGAGAAAAGGGACTGTTCTCATCGGCGTATGTTGCAGAGACAGGCCTCGTCATGGCAGTTTGTAGAGCAGCACCTCCTGGCTGTGTGATGTTTTGAGCCTCACGAGAAACATTACCAGATAAAGATGTGGATGTTGTTGGAAGCCGATGAGTTGGGACTGCGACAGAGCTAACACTAGACATAGGCACAGAGACTGAGGTAGTGCTGGTACACTCCCCAGAAACAGGTGTTTTCCCTTGAAGAAGGGACGTCGTGATGTTCAGCCTAGAAGAATGAGAGACAACAGTGTTGTTGCTCTTTCCAACAATTAGAGGAGCAGTTGCGTTTTCACTAGAAGAGGGGGCCTTGGCCTTGTTGACAACTCTTCCATATGACAGAGGTGTGGTGACAGCCCTGGTATCTGATTTAGCCATGCTAGTGGTGCTCTGGTTTGAAGGAGGGAGGGCCATGAGGCCAGAGAGAAGGGCAGAGGCACTGCTGCTGGATGACGACAGAGCTCCACATGTTTGAACAGAGGATGGTGTAGCCTTTTGCCTTTTATCCTTTTGTGCCTCAGCAACACAAGGGTCAAGAGACACGCCTCTTGGGCCAGGTCCAGGGTTTGGAGACCAGTTCAAATTTAAAGTTGGACTAGATTTTTGGATATTTGAATCAACCGGCAGAGATTTCCCCTCAACTTTTTTACTAGAAACACCTTGAGTTAAAGTTTTCTTGGTATTTTCCCCATTTGGCAATGCAGTTTTAGGAAAAGATCCAAGAGCATTCGGACTGGAAAGTTTCACAAGCACAGGCTTTCCATCAATTTGGATCAAAAACAACCCATTGTTCTCCTCAACGATTTTTTTACCACTTTTTGCGAGATGTGATGACAATGAATTCAAAGCAGCCTGGATAGTAGTTGAGCTCAACTCTCCACTCTTAGTCGTAGATGGTGCTGTTTTGGAAAGAACTGGGGTTGGAATAACGAATTTGGAAAATTTGCTTTTGTGAACCTTGAACCTTTGAAAAGCATTATTCTCTTCCACAGTTTTCTCAGATGGTATCAAATTGGGCTTTTTCATCGTCGATTCTCTAGTCACCTTCGTAACGGGCAGTCCTTTTGTAACATTCTGCAGAGGTGATTTTTTAGCAGACGTCAATGCTGTCTTGGTCCTGGCCTGTTTTGTTTGAATATTCTGTTTACTTGTCCAACAACGCCTTTGAGCTTTGCACAGAGCCATGGCAGAGCGTTTCTCTTCCACTTGGCTTCTGAGCAGTTTTATTGCTAAGTTATCAAAAACAGATTCATTCTTGGAAAAATCGCCCTTGTCTGCTAGTTTTGCACCAAAATCAAGATCTTCGACATCATCAGGTTCTTCAGAGTACAATAACTTAGCAGCCTGTGGACGGCTTTTTGTGCCTCTGACAATAAGCGCATGGGGGCTTTTTTGCTTGGGTAATACAGCTGTGCCATTCCCCGGAAGAGGATTTGTACTTCTGCCTGTGTTCCTTTTCTTCTCTCTTACTGCTGGTGGAGATAAATTTTCTTCTTTTCTCATTTCTTTTGACTGTTCCTCTTGCCTCAGAGAGTTGCTTGCTTGAGTAGGAAAAACATGCATGGCAGGGCATGGAGATTCTTTTATTTCGTTCTTTTTTTCTTTATCAACACAAGATGTACTGTTTCCATCTAGAGTGGGTGATTCACAATCAATTATTTCATGCTTCACATCCTTGCTTTGTTTTGTTTTGCTGGTTAAGGGGTTTTGATCAGGACTTTGTAGCTTAGCTACTTTAGAAGGAGGAGAAGGCAAGCAATCAAAATTTGGGTGATTATTACACGTTAAGAGGTTGAGATGACATAGTGAATCCAGATGTCTCTTTCTGCAGTGGTTACTGCACTTTGGAAATGCCTCAGGTGAGTTCACAGCCTTTATCTCTTCCTTTGTAAGCCTCTCCACAACAGTAAAGCAAGGGGAACAATATTTTTTCCAGTCTGAAGATGTCAACTTGAAGGTAGATGACACCTTGACTTCTTCTACTTCCATTTCCTGCTTCTCACTTTCATTCAAATCCACAGGTGAGTCTCTTCCATCATCTTGTATCACATGAGGGATTGCATCAGCCAGAGAGAACACAGACTCAATTTTTAGATCTGAATCTTGAATGTTGGCATGTGGCTTCTTCCAGTCATCCATCTCACAACCATAATTATCATCAACAATGTCATCACACAAATCCGACTTTGCACAATCTTGCCCTTCTGATTCTGGAACAAAACTTTTATATTTGCTGTCTGCTGTATATCCAAAAGCATTCCCTTTGCTAGTTGTTGTTTTACGCTTTTGGAATTGAGAAGGAAGCCATGAACCATCCTGAGAAGTGTAAGTTAGTTCTGTACGTGCATTTATGTCAAGATCATCATCGTCTAAGCTGGGAGAAATCACGTTCACTGGAACAGAACCACAAGCTGTTTGCAGACAAGTTGTCAACATGTGTGTCTTGGTTGATTCAGTTCTTCTGTCTTTTACTGAACTCGGTAACTCTGTAAAACTCTGCGACCCCTTCGTCTTCATTAGTTGCTGCAAAGACTGCATTAAGCTTTCACTTGAAGACGCTGGAGCCTTCACGCATCCAGCATTATTAGAATACAAATTTTCAACGGGCAAAAATTTTCCAGCATCTTGCTTGATAGTATCCGCGGAACTCTTGGAAATGGAAAAATGATGAGCTTTATTCAAGAGAGACATACCAGAGTCTTTCCTCTCTGAACTGAAATCAGATTTCTTCAAAACACCTGCAGTAGACTGCCCTTTTGCAAGAGGAACTTTAGAATACAAAGCTCTAACCTGTGATAATTTTCCCACTTCACCCAAAGCACTCTTTGAATGTGTTCCATAATGTTTATTACCTAAAAGAGATACGCCAGAAACTGGCACAGAAGGTGCCACAATTTCGTTCAGTTTTTCAAAGACGTATGAATGATCTGACTTCACATCTTCCTGAACACTCCTCTTCTGTATGTTGTAGTTGGCATTCCCAAGATCATTATTGTGGCCAGATGAGGGAGGTATTGACACTTGTAATATGCGACCTGGATGGCCTGGAGTTTTCAAAATTAGAGTCTCATGAGACAAGTCTTTCAGTTTTTGACCCTGTGATGTCGAGGGTTGGTGGGTAAGAGGCACGGTAGAAGACACCAGTGCTACATTAGCAGGAGATCTATTTGCACCAGCAGAGTGGCTGAAAAGTGACTTTGAAATTTTCAAAGGTTTAGCGACATGACTAACCGAAATCGGTTTCAAAGCAGACACAGTGCTTGCACTTGGAGCCGCTTTGGCTGAAGCAGCAGATACAGAATCTTTTTGAGACACACACAGGCCACTAGCATCAGCTCCTTTCAAAGCATTCTGTTGATGTGAATTGAAAATGTTCACAGATGCATCAAAATTATTAGTTGCTAAGATAGCTCCAGCATTCTTGTTGCCTTGCTCTGAAGCACATTTCAAAGATGAGTCATGACCTTTATATGGTGGGAGTAATACGTACTGGGGTTTACTTTTTTTACTTTTCTGGATAGTATTTATTAAATCAGGTTGCTTCTGACCTGAACTACTTTTCCTGGCAGTTTTGTTCCTGCTATTAGTGTGAGCTGCTTTGAAAACCGGCACAAGAAAAGTACCTGAGCTTGAACTCAAAAGATGAAAAACTGGTCTTGACGGATCTGCAGGTATGAGAGCTGAGAGAGGTGTTCCCACCTTTTCCTTCTCTTTATTCAAAATAATGCTGGAAACTGTACCAGATTTTGTTGAGGCACTTGTTAACATTAGTCTCTGCACATTTTGTTTTTCAATCTCTTTTATGCCTTCCCCGGAACAAGAGATGGATGGTGGTGATGAAGAGATCTGACCACAGTACGGGGGAAAGGTGGTAGCTGTGGGATGTGATACAGTAGTCTTTAGCAGTGAGCTAGCTTTGCTGATGATTTTTTCCTGAGTAGCCTTGGTTGGGACAGACAGACTTTGTGCTTCCGTTCGTAGAGTGTCAGTCGGGAAGCAATGAGGCTGAGACATTTTTGCATCAATCCCCACACACAGAGCACATCTGACACCTGACTCGGAGGGAACTGTCGCACACTGGGACAGACGAAGGTGCTTGGAATCGTCTCAATAACTGTCAATGACAGGTTTTTCCTTGTTCAGCGAATGCCCGAGTGATACCATCAGAAGCCACGACTCCTTTGTAGCAGACATCCACACTTGGAGATAGGGCGGAAAGTCTGTCCTTGCTTTCTTCACAAGCTGTTGAAACAAATGGAAAAAGAAGCTTTAGAAGGTTCAGTGACAATCAATTTGCATTCATCAAGAAAGCATACCAGTTCTATATCAATACAGGTCTTTTGTTGAGACTTGTTCTTCTCAACTTTGAGAAAAATATGGGCATCTTTTTTGCAAACATGTTTTGAGATAAGAAATTGATAGCCTCTCTTAACAACTCATAACAAAGAAGGACTTTTCTTAATTCTTGTGAGAAAAAAAATTAAGCCCATGCAAAAAATAATATGTTTATCACACAAACATATAAACTACAGCTGAACCTGCTCTAGCGGCCACCAATATAAGACAATCACATGTTTACAAAAAATGACCACTTCCCATTTCTTCCCTTGCATATTTTTTAACATTATAAAGACACTGTCTGTGACATCCACCTGTCTACAGTGGCCCCTTTTCTCCTCCACAAAGGGAAGCTGTCATAAGACAGTTTTGAATGCAATCATTTGCTTGAATCACTGTCAAAAAACACTCTGTGTGCCTGAAGTACTATATTTATGTATATTAAATGTACTATATATATATACAGACTATAAGATAAGTTATACACTGAACACAGAGAATGCTCTTCCTTTGGCAGCTCAAATGCCTGTATAAGAGAGTACAGGTATCGGTGTGTACATCATTTAAGAGGTGGATTTGACTCTACCTATCAGGGTATACCCAGGCAGAGACAGATACATTGACGTTGACGCTCATATGACCTTATGCAGTTGCGAGTGCCGTAAAACCTCTACTAAAACAAAACAAAAAAAGACACATTGACCCAGCAGAAAGAAAGAGATACTAAATAAAATTCTCCCCACACTGGAACAGAACTTGAGTCTCCAGAGTTTGAAGGTGAAGTGTCTAACCGCAACACCAGATACACAGGTCTGCAACCAGTGAACTTGTTCCCTGGGGTACCATGTTCAATGATCAGTTATGTTAATTTTCCCAGATTCCCAGAGGGTACTTGTAGAATTTCCATCCTGAAACACCAAACATTTAGGTCATCCATTTTTTCCAAACTTAAGAAGTCTTGATTCATCTCTTTTGAATTCTTCGAACTAAATACATTTTTTTTTTCAAGATTATTTTAGTTTGTGCATCAACTGTCTCTGAAGATTGCAGAAGGAATTTACCATATATATTACTCTCCTATATACAACCTCGTGTATAATACAGGGTATACTTATGACTCTAGAATGGGTCTGTAATGTATGTTGTGCCCGTAATACAAGGAGAATTTCCAAAATGCTGGAGGGGGTTCAACAAGAGTGAAATCAAGTTCTCGCTAGCATAAAAGCTTTTCTCTAAGGACTGGCCTGCACACCTGCAAGCCATAGATATAAGAGGTGTTAGAACTTTAAAATAAACACTGAGACCAAAAGCTTGAGTTCATTCACTGCTAGCAAGGAGTAGCTACAGCTATAACCTGGGCAGGACAGCTATCGTTTATAACCACATAACCATAACTTTAATAATAATTTCTTATAAACTAGCTTGGTAATTCACAGACTCTTTTTTACTATACAAAAATGCGGTCTATTTAATTCAATTTGCTTCACATAAGAGTGTAAAACCCAAGTTTTGTTTTAGTAAGAGTTTTACTGCATTTGCAACATAAATACGTCATAGAAATGCCGAAGATTAGGGGAGCTACTAAAGAGTAGTTTTTCTTTTTTTTAAAGAAGAAAGAGAAGATCATATAATTATGATGGATGTTTGATACAAAAGAAGGAGAAAATCAACCACAGCATCCACCATGCCAAAGTTTCAACAATAAACCCTGCTCAAAGATTTTAGAAAAAAAGGTGTAACCGAAAGTATTTCCCTTTTTGACCTTTTCTTTTAGTAATTACATTACATGTATAGTAAATTGAGAGAAAGTTGATGTGAAACGGAACATTTTTCATTTAAACCTTTGCATTTCATATTTTATGTGTATCAACTCAATCTTCACACTAAATATGTCCAATTTTTTAATTTGCTCCAGGAAAAAACAATTTTGACAAAAATCAAGCGTGTAATGTTTTCAATACCAACAAAACAAACCTCTCTATTCTTTTTCAATCCATTAAATAAACACATAGCTGGCCAGACACTATAGAAATAGGAGCTAAAGCAAACCAGCCTCTGGGGTTAGTTTTAGTAAGAGTTTTATGGCACTTGCAACACAATAAGGTCATATAAGTGCCGAAGATTGGAGAGTAAAAAATACCCCCCAAAAAGGAGGAGAGATTATAAGGGCGATAGATGTTTTATAAAAAAAAAAAAGCAGACCACACCAGAGCACCCGCCAAACACCCACCCAGCCTCTGAATCTGAATAAACACCAATAGACAGGCAGAAAGTCACATACACAATATGAGTCACAGAAAATGGGAGATAGAAAATAATTTCAACAAAATCTCTTTGATTCCACGACTGGAAAAGTCAGTTAACGAACTACGGCAAAGAAGGAAAAAAATTCAAAAATTCTGCACAACTGTCCATAAAAAGACAAAAGCAGCATAATAACCCACCAGACACAAACAACATTAGCTTGACATGATCAAAGACAAGACAGAAAAGTAAAAAAAGACATCATGAGACACAAAATAAAACAATCACAGTGTGAACATTCGAAGCAATTTTTAAGCTACACTGTTCTTGCAGATTTAAGTAGAACATTATAAGAAAATGTGCAGAAATTTAAAATAATTTGATGCAAAAATAAATTATTAATAACAGCTCTCTTGATCAAGCATGTTTTCTATCTGTTATTTCAACATTCTCACTCAGTGTGATCTCTGCTATGGGTAATTGTAAACACATTGCTATAACTTTGTACCACCATTTGAGCAGACAAGCTGGCTGGAGAAGCAAAAGTGGAGGGGAATTTAACACTGGACCCACCAACCGTCCTAACCGCTGTAAGGGAAAATTTGAGGAAGATTACATTCTAGGTAGATTGAAGGAGAAGGGGATCCAAAGAGGAGAAGGGAAACACAGCCACCTGTGCCGACCAGTCCGACGGATCTCCAACCAGATTATGATGGAGACTATAAGTAGACAAGACTCTGCGATGGATCCCGAACAGGGGGGGGGGGGGGGGGGAGCAGAGATGGACATGTTCCGACTGCAGTGACCCCAACACAGTGGACAAGTAAGACAAGTAAGAAGTAAGACCACCATTTCATTTAAGAAGCTACTTTCACAGAAACTTGTGGTACATGGGATTTCCTTGAGACTTTTTAGTTTTAGTAGAGGTTTTATGGCTCTCGCAACTGCATAAGGTCATACGAGCGTCAGAAGATTAGAAGTGTTACAAGAGAGTAACAAACATAAAAAAGAAGAAGGGGAGATAAGGACGATAGATGTTCGATAGGAAAGAAGGAGTGAACCACACCAGAGCACCCGCCAACCACCCACTTGAGACTTTGTACAATACAGTACAGTGGATATTCAGTGGATAGATCAGTTTTCTGCAGGCTTCTTTTGGTAGAGGGCACCTTCCACAAGTGTGTAATAGCTTTCAGGTCAAAATTTTGTTCAGATTCAGATTTCAATGACAGATCAGCATGCAGTTCGGAGTGCCAATAAGAATGTGATCCATGGAGGCTCATTTGATAAATTAATTCTACAACAATAAATTTGTACAGAATACCACCATTGCTTCACTTTCAACAAGACCAACTAAGGGACCGTTCACAAATGACATCGGCTAAAATTTGGCAAAAAATGACACCCCTCCTCTCCCCTTGTCATCTTTCACACGACCCCCCCCCTCCCCCAGTTGATGACAACCAATATGTAGATATATATACATTTAAATAGAACCTGTTCTGTTTAATCTAACTTCTAGCAGTCTGTGCTATGGGGACATAACTGTTGATTTTAGATTTTAGGCCAAAAAAAAACCCAATACGGTCCAATTTAACTGTGTTAATTCTAGGACAAGAAAATGTGGTCTATAATATTTTTTCTTTTCTTTTTTCCCCCCAAACTTTAAGAGCACCATGACTGACGTCAACTTTGTAAGGACCCCCTTCCCTCCCCCATGTCAACTTTTGTCAACTTTTCACTGACCCCCCCCCCCTCCCCTCCTCCGAGCTAACGTCATTTGCTAACTATCCAGAGAGAAGGAGTGAATATATTATATATACAAACCCATGAACCAGAGATCATTTCCCCCAAACGGGCATTCAATGAAATATGAAATAGCAGTGACACAAGCAATGTGGAGATAGTGACCGGCTGGAAAAAAATCTCACAAGAGATAGAGCCATTCTTTTTATTTTTATTTATAAGAGCCCACCTTCCTGTAACAACAACCGACAAAAATAAAGAGGTCTGTCCCTCTTTAGAATTTTTTCAGCAAAATGTCACCATCCCTCGGGTTACGTGTGTCGCTGCAGTTTAATTTTTCATGGTACGGTCTAATAGTCAAAACACTAACTGGGCGCCTGAGACAAGTGCATAATTAATCTACATGAAAAGGGAGTTCTGCACTTCTAAAATTCATGGATATGACAGACATAGTAGTTTAACATAGTCCTGATAAACATGAAAATGAACACTTCCCACACAGGCAGATTAAGCCGCTAGTCTTGGCTTTACTTCTCCAGACAATCCTCATATATAATACAGTCAAACCTGCTCTTTCAAACAATTGTCTAAGACAATCACCTGTACAAATGGCTCTTCCCACCTTCCCCTTTGAAAATGTTCTGTAACAATGATACAATGACACTGTCTAAATAAAGGACCACCTGTTTAAGATGACCAATTTTCTCCTTGACAACTGGTGATAATTTTGGACAGGTTTGAATATAATTTATAGGCCAACTATGAAAAAAAAAAAAGTACACCAACTATTGTCCTACGCTTTGAATATATGTATATAATATTATTTTATATAGCCTCCGTCTGCAGTGCCTTCACTGAGATAGTAAAAGTCACCAATATTTATGGTTGACATAGAGCAACGTTTTAGAGAAAATGTGTCACAACGTGGTGGAATCAGGTGCTCGTCAACTTTTGGGCATATATGGAGTTATTGGACTCTTAACTCTTTCACTATCGGGGGGGTTTTCCTCATCTGGACCGGGCCCTATCTGTTACCTACTTTCTGATCCTGCCTACCATCGGACAAATTAAAGATTTTTTGGTTCAATTAGGAATTATATGCGGAAATAAACGGGAAATAATGACCTATCTCAACATGTAGCTAAAACCGATCATTTTTCAGCCTGAGACTTCAGATTCGATTAATTTATTACAAAAGTAGTTGTGGTTTTGAGGCAGAATGTGGACAGCCGTGAAGCATGGCGCGCTGTCCTGCGCTGGGGGTAACTAGTGTAACACGAGCCATGAAACACGGCTCGCGGTAGTGAAAGAGTTAAAGCCTGTTCATTTGTCTTGTTTTTTGAGAAAAAAATTCTTATCTATCTTGAGTAGAAGTCGAGCTAGTACTAGTGATTGAAGAAGTAGGAGTCCCCTGGTCTCAAGAGGTAAAATAAGTGAGAAAATGGCCGCCAAACTTTGGTGGCTTAGAAAGCCTGAGTGCCTTTGGAAACCGCAAATTTACATTTTTAAAATGTGCCTTAAATCAATGCTTCTCGGTAACATCCAGACAGAATGTGTTTTCCAATGGATATTAAAGGTGTTGAACCATATAAAGAAAATATGAAAATAATTGCCATACTGAAAAAAAAGACTGTTTCTTTGATTTTATTTTACATGCACCAGATTTCGCCACAATGCCTAACGTGAAAATGATAGTACTTTAGTATAGATCAGTGTCAAATATACTGAAAAGCTGGAAAAGAAAATCAGCGACATTTTATTATAGGGCATGCTCACCACTTCATTGACTGGAGGAAACTGTGTCGCTGTCAAAGGAAGGCAGAAAAACAGCTCCTTGACCTGTCCTGTCCTGAGTACCTGGGGTAAAAGAAAACTGGTGTTACAAATTATAATATGCATCACTAAAAGTAGGATTATTAAAGAAGGTGACAAGCTGACAGCAAAAGGAAACAAAAAGATGAGAGGGAAAGAGAGAGAGAGAGAGAGAGAGAGAGAGAGAGAGAGAGAGAGAGAGAGAGAGAGAGAGAGAGAGAGAGAGAGAGAGAGAGAGAGAAACAGGGGGGGGGGGGGGTAGGAAAATGGAGTGGGGGCAGGGGCAGGTCAAAAATTTAGTCACAATAAAATGAAAAAGCTTTCTTTACTAGGTTAGTTGTTTTAACCTACTGCAGCAATGCTTTATCAACGAGAATTCCTTTAAAAAAAAAAACATAACATGACCTGTTACACGCTTATAACAACAGGCCAAGACTTTGAGCTGAACTAAGGGCACTAAGGCATAGATCTACACAGCGTCACAAAAAGTCCTCAAGAAGTTGTGAACAAAGTCGGCTACCCCCTTTTTTTCGCACCCCAAACTGCAAGGCAAAATTACCGACTCGCGCAAAAGATAACTCCTACGGTAAAAAAAAATGGGGGGGGGGGGGGGTGTATAAAGGTTCACCTGTCACACGACAGCGTCACAAGTTGTTTACTGACGTCTACAGGTCACATGTCATATCATCATATGTGGGCAGAACATGTCTTCCGGTTCTGTCGTTCCACTGCGACCCGAGAGGCCTCAAACAAGTTCCAACATTTTCTTTTTTCTGTTCTAGATCTAGATATTAACTTTAAACCTTACACACAATCAATTCAAAACTTCTGAAAAAAGAAAAAGTAATAAAACCAAACCCACCCCCTTTGCCTCAAAAAGAATCCCTGTGTCGTCACTGCGGCATAGGCCTAGCCTAAAATGTTTGCGTCCGAAAACACGTCATAATTTCGCAAACGATTTCTGAACTCAAAACATTACTACACAAAAGTAACATTGCAAACGGGGCTAAGTCAGATAAGTTGCAGGGTTGGAGTGAGAAGCCTTTCACAGAGACATGCAGAAGTTTGCAAGTGTAAACGTAAGGCACAAATAACATTAAATTAATTAAATGCTTGTAGATACACTCACTGCTCTCCTTGAATCACGTGAGTAAAGCGAATCCAGTGTCCTTGAAATACAGACTACCACCACGCTCTTGACCAGGCTTCCCAACATACACAAGAACTCAAATGTTTCCGGACATGCGCACTTAGGCCTACTTCAGACTCCTCTCTTTGAGTTGGCCGATTGCCAAGCATTGGCCTGGGGGTGGGGAAAAGAGCAACATGGCGGACACAGATGTTACCCACAATTCCTGGAAGAAATCCGGAAATGCAATTGATACCCCTATACAATAATTCAACGTCAGCGAGTACGATCAAGAAAACACAATGTATGACCAAAAAATGCATTTTACAAATCGTAGAATCACTCTTCAGATGACTGGACATGATTTAACAGCAACAATAACAAATATGATGATAACAAGTTTTATAAAAAAAAAAAAAAAGTAATAACATTGTTAAAAAAATACTAACATCAATTACAATTTGGTAAATTACTTCTTATCAGGACACCTGCTTCCCGGATAATTAATATATTACGGTCCTACTATCACTTATGTACCCGTTTGACAATTTAGGAACTAACTGAAGTCGAAAAGCGAACGAAAACAAGCGAGACTAGCATTATCTGGACATACCGATATGATCAGGCGCCACGACTAAATTCAATATGGCTGCTTCCTCACAATTACCCATAAGTCAGTGCGCAGTTTCGTCAACCGGAAACGGATTCCCCTCCTCAGCTCGCGACTTGCCAATGAGAAAGGCTTTTACTGCTGTCCTTTAGTATCGATACCAAAGCAACAACTGATATAATATATCGACTTGGGAGGAACACAAACAGTTCCCACGTGACGTCGTTCACTGTTGTCAAGCGGTAAAGGCGGAGACGAGTCAGCGATTAGTCAGCTGCAACGCTGCAGCAACATCGGGTGTAGATCTAATCTACATTATCATAACGGGCTATTCCTTAACTCGTTTTCAGGCTTAACATATTTAATCAAATACACTACCATTTAAAAAGAAAAAAAAACCCCTCTTACAACGACAAGAATAATTACACCAAGAACCAAGTTTAGGTTAATACCTGTATAGAAAATTAATATTATTAGGCCTATTATTTTTTTTTATTATCATTTTTAAAATTATTAGGCTATTATCAGGTTATTATTATTTTATTATTATAACCGGTACCATTCTAATAATAACAATAACGATTAATAATAATAATAATAATAATAATAATAATAACATAAAAAGGATGATACTACTAGCCTTCTACAACAACAACAATAACAACAACAATAACTACTACTCTACTACTACTACTACTACTACTACTACTACTACTACTACTACTACTACTACTACTACTACTACTACTACTACTGCTATTACTGATGATGATGATGATATAAAATAAATAATCATCATCATCATTAGTAGTAGTAGTAGTAGTAGTAGTAGTAGTAGTAGTAGTAGTAGTAGTAGTAGTAGTAGTAGTAGTAGTAGTAGTAGTAGTAGTAGTAGTAGTAGTAGCAGTAGCAGCAGCAGTAGTAGTAGCAACAGCAGTAATAATAGTAGCAGCAGCAGCAGCAGCAACAGGCAGTAGTAGCAGCAGAAACAGCAGCAGTTAAGTAGTTTCAGCAGCTGCAGAAGCAGCACCAGCAGCAGCAGTAGTAGTAGTAGTAGTATATCACCTTGATTACTGAAATTTAAAAGTAAGTTCGCTGCAAGCAAATGTCACTGTGGTGGTGGAGACACTTGTTTTCTCTAGCTTAACCTTTTAACTACAGTGGCTTGTACTTGTGTATTGGCCTAACGTTTATCCTAAAATAGTTTCAGTCCTATAGTTAATACGGAGAGGTCAACCAACCCACGAAATAAGAATGTATTGCGGAAGTAAAATCAGATTTATACTTCCCGACTCTGGACACACAGTTTGCTTTATATACGTGATCTATGGATGTGAATAAAGTGCTAAATGTGTTCTTTCGTTGAAATTAAGAGAGTTGTCAGCGTTGGGACACCTGAATAGACATAAGGGTCTTGAACATCTAGCTCTCACTGGCAAAATTGAGGGAAAGCGAGGCAGGGGTAGGCCCAGAACAACATACTTAGGGAACCTAAACAAATGGGTAACAAGGAAAAATCAGGGAAACGTAGCTTTTCTGAGAGCATCCGAGCAAAGGAATGGATGGAAAATCATGATCGCCAATGTCTGTCGCAGATCTGGCACTGGATGATGATGATGATGTCAGTTTTACAAATATTCAATACATAAGGAAATAGATAAATAAAGATGTAAAGATGATAGTTCTGGAACAAGGAAAGCAATGCCAACAATTAAAACAACAACGACAGCGGCAACGATAACATAATGAATCCAGGAACAGCAAAAGAAACAGTAGCTGAATAACATTAAAGATTACGACCTTTATACTGACATTATTAATAATATTTTTTTGTATACCTTTATATATGACATATAATATAGATCTAGATCTATGGACATATGTCATATTATGTCCATATTGACATTTTAATAACGGTTGTCGTACTCGTGAGTAAAACAACATCAGTGTTAAACATTTGATTGGATGTGTAATTAGCAACAGTTTAATTCATTCCCGATGTTGTAACAAAACAGTGACTCAAAATGTTTACACCCGCTGTAGAAAATGAGACCTTTCAATTCAAGTGTTTATCAAAGAAAAATAAATAAGTTATTATTTGCAAGGGTTCTGAGGAAGAAACAAAAATATACATGAAGGGCAAGGTGCTTAATTACCCGTGAGAGAGAGAGAGAGAGAGAGAGAGAGAGAGAGAGAGAGAGAGAGAGAGAGAGAGAGGGGGGGGGTAGGTTAGCATGACCCAAATAGATCAATGGAAACCTCTGAACAGTTTACTTCGGGAAAATCATATGCCAGCCATAACTTTATTACGGCATAAGTTCCGTTTGCAGAACATCACCGCATCTCGGATTTGTAGCTTGATTTTGTATAATCATGGGCTCGCCTTATTTACACTAGTTAGATAGTTTGCATCTCGTTCAATGTCTGATTGAATCAGCAAACTGCTGTTGACTGTTGACAGTGTGTCAGACGTCAGAGCCACATTACGCCAACCGCACTTTGTACTGCTTCCTCCTGCCATGCATATCAGCGAATTATTTGACCTCGTTATGGTCCCAGTATCGATACACCGTTTGTTCTCTTCCAATAATCGGAAGTCCCAAAAGGAGAACGCTGACTGACAAGCAGTCGCAGATCTCAAGCATCGGGCTTTATCAGTCTAGAAACGTATACTAAACTGTGCTTTTAGGACTTGGGGAAATATAAGACGATATTTCTTTCTTGGCAAACAAATTTCTGAATTATTATGCAGATCTAGATTGTATCTCTCTAAATATCGTTTTCGGCGGAGCACGCTGTGCCACAACCTTTCTTCCGCCCAAGCGAACACTCGACGCCGTGTCGTGTATTCATACGCCTGCGCTGTGTGTGCGACTGACTGGCTTCACTCTCGGGGAAGTCGTTTCGGGTCGCGAACTTTTTTCTAGGTCACCTAGACGAGGGAGGGGGAGTTCGTTATTATTCGTTGTTTTCAATGATAATGTCGTTCGCGATATTATACTATGGCTGTCCCGGAAGTAATAGGAAATTTGCCATATTTCAGCAACCGTCTAATATTTTTCAGTTGTGTAAAAAGTTTTCAGTAGTCAGTGCAATTCCAGATTTGGGATCACTAGGTAATTGTCGTTTAGGTACCGTACATCACAATAAATAAGACACGCACAATACAAAAATGGTCGAACTAAAGAGACCAGTGTAATTCGGTTTCTTGACGAAAAACTATCTCACTAAACTTGAAATTTGTTTAGAGTGCGAATCTTTTAAGCAAGTCAAGGGTCTTCCATCGGTGCAATTTATTTAAAGAGGGGCAAACAAATCAACGCAATAAGTTATTGGAGGACTGTCTGGCAACACAGACAAATGCATAAATAAATAAATAAATAAATGAATAAATACATTAATTAATAAATGCAAAGCGCATTGAAAACCTCATTCGTAATGACGTGAGATTAAAAATTCGTGAGATTTCCGATTCTCTACATCTTT